TCTTGAATGTCGAATGGTCAAGAGTCAGATGGCAATGGCAATGGTCGGAGTTGAAGGGTTTGAGTTCCTCAGAGCTGTGAGTAGGCTCAAAATGGCACAGCCGATCAGGATCACTGGCGCTGACGACACTGACAGCCCTCTCATCGTGCTCATGGCAGCCATGACGTTGGGACGACCACCATCATCATCTATTACATCTATGCATCGGTGTGATGATGTGGAGCCAGAGCCAGAGCCAGGAAGCCTTGAACTTGATGGTGAGCCTGGTGATCGCGATCATGAAGAAGAACCAGGACCAGAGCCAGAGCCAACACCAGCGATGCTTCCATCACCTCCTCGCGCAGTCAGTCCGTTCATTCGGAATTCACAACAGTGGCAATGGATCGATGAGAAGCTCAGTTGTCCAGCATGGGTCCAAGGCAAACGACCCAAGACAACAGCATCATCATCATCATCATCCAGTTCCAGTTCACGACCGGTAGCTGTCCTCGGCCCATCAAATCCAGATTCATCGCCTGCGGACATGCGACGAAGCCAGAAGCGAAGGAGATCATCAAGCTCAGATGCTGTGTGATGGTTTCGTTTTGATTTTGTTTAAGGACTATCTCTCTCGGACTAGCCTTAAGTATTTTGGACCTATTGGTCGACGGAATCGGGCGGTTGCCCTTTCTTGCAGCTCCTAAGGACTGCTTGGCAGAAGATGGAAAAAAAACTGACGGCGGGACGGGGCATGGATGGCCGGCATGGACCATGATGAGTCCGTGTTGAACCAAGTTTGAACCAAACAGTTGTATATCGATAAATCGATAAATTCGATCAATGATATGATGATAGTATATCACAATGGGTACAACTGAATATGTTTTATTTTATATTGTTTACACCTACGAATCTTCTTCGTGTATATTATATAACATACCTACTTGCATACATTGTACACATAACATGTATGCACATACAAGTATACGATCCAAACTACAGAATTGATTTCAAAGACCAGTCAAAATTGTTATTACGAATCCTGACATTGGTTTTAGGATTGCATCTTAAATCATTTGCAATGGCTTAGTTACAAACCACTGCTACTACAGTATGTTTGCTGGCCACAATGCTCACATCAAGTGCAGCGGTGGTTCAAAACCATTCAACCATTGGACCATTGAGACATAGGAAGGATTTGTTTCATTTTCATATACTGCGGCGAGACCCAAATGCTAAATAGTTGTAAAGTTTCTGGTGTGCCTAGCATGAATGATTTTAACACTAGTATTAGTTTTAGTATCTGATTCAGATAAACACAGCTAAGGGCCGCTTAGGTATGGTTCCTGGTCCCTGGTTTTCCCTGAACCATCGCATTCTCAATCTGGTGCATGGTCCGCAACAGTTCCTCTCAGGTATCAGGCCTTCGACCTGAACCTCGGCTGCTGGGCTGACTGTTCTGAAATATGTCGATGGTTCATTGATTATTATGGATTCATAGAATGAACAGTCTGTCCAAAATCAAATGGATGAATGGGTGGTCCGGATGGTAGTGGGGTGTAGTTCATTGCATTAACATATGAGTCGTCGTCATGTACTGACATTGAACATATTTTTTGAAAAACACAAGTGTTGGTGTTGGATCAAACACTAATACTTTTACATATTACATGTGGCATAATCTAAATATACAAAAGGCAGTAACATATACATATGTGTTTAAAGGTTCAACGATAATATAGTATATTGTATGTATATACATGCATGTTATCATGTTATATAAATAAATATATATATATATACACAGTGTGTGTGTATATACAATCTACTTGTCATACTACATGCACATACGAAAACATTAAGGTTTACTGTACTAATCATAGTACTTATGTAAAAACAATGCCTTAAGTCAAATTCGCAGTATCCATGATATCACCCTTGACTTCACAGCAATAATCCAACGACGCGACAATGCGGATGGGCTTGGTGTGGACGAGGCTGGACGAGGTTCGTCCACGGGTCTGGAGGGTGTGGACGAGGTTCGTCCACGGGTCTGGAGGGTGTGGACGATGTTCGTCCACGGGTCTGGAGGGTGTGGACGAGGTTCGTCCACGGGTCTGGAGGGTGTGGACGAGGTTCGTCCACGGGTCTGGAGGGTGTGGACGAGGTTCGTCCACGGGTCTGGAGGGTGTGGATGAGGTTCGTCCACGGGTCTGGAGGGTGTGGACGAGGTTCGTCCACGGGTCTGGAGGGTGTGGACGAGGTTCGTCCACGGGTCTGGAGGGTGTGGACGAGGTTCGTCCACAGGTCTGGAGGGTGTGGACGAGGTTCGTCCACGGGTCTGGAGGGTGTGGACGAGGTTCGTCCACGGGTCTGGAGGGTGTGGACGAGGTTCGTCCACGGGTCTGGAGGGTGTGGACGAGGTTCGTCCACGGGTCTGGATGGTGTGGACGAGGTTCGTCCACGGGTCTGGAGGGTGTGGACGAGGTTCGTCCACGGGTCTGGAGGGTGTGGACGAGGTTCGTCCACGGTCTGGAGGGTGTGGACGAGGTTCGTCCACGGGTCTGGAGGGTGTGGACGAGGTTCGTCCACGAGTTTAGGTTGTGTTGGTGGCTTGCAAAGTACAATGCCAGGATGGTTAAGGCTACTGGATGGTGTGAACATGGGTTCGTCCACGGTTACTCAGGACATGTTCAAGGAAAGGCTTACATATTATATTTTACTGCGATCTTTAAACTAAAAACATAAAACAAACATATATCATCAATGTGCATTACTATTTTCTGTGTGTTTGTTACTATCAATGGGGTATCTTCAAAGATAACTTTTCACACACACATAAATAAATAAGTAGATAGATAGATAAATAGATAAATTAAAACATACACACAGATATATATATATGTATAGTTATATAATTGTTATAATCAACAAAACCCATACAGAAGCTATGCATCTGCAGAACTACAACTTTGAAACCTTTGCGACCAAATTTCAAAGACATCTTTTCAAGTAAGGAGCCACTTGTTCAAAAAGGTTTAATGTGTTCAGACATTCCAGCAATACAATGACAACCTCATAAAGAGAACACCAATCATTTTTTTATTTTGTCAAGATCATTCGATATCTAAATTTGCGCATCGGAATGCTGACTTGTTATCAATCAGAAAGTTGGAATTGAAAGCCTGGCCTGCCTGACTGGACCATCTTGTCGCCGAGGAACAGAACCATAATGACTGCAGCAGCTGTAGCACCTGTGAGGCAGCATCGCTGGGATTGAACTGGCTTGAGTCATTAGGTGCCGTAGCAACCCATGTGTTCAAGTCGTTTCAAACCACATAAAAAAAACATAAATGAAAACGGTCCAATCATTCATTCATTCAGAGCCAAATCCAGACATCAGACATGATTCCGACATGCTGAATCATATTATGAGGAGTCATGATGAGTGATGAGTCATGATGAGTGATGAGTCACGGTCGTTGTCGTAAAATCCTTTCCGGAAACTCTCAAAACTTTGTGAGTTATTTTTTAATCACTTCAAAACGAGGTTCAAGCATTTTTGAACACGTTCAATAGTCAGGGTCAGTCAACAACTACTCAACAAATCATCGCTGTCACCATGACTCACCATTGATAAATTCGACTATTAACTTTAGGACCATGTATGCAGCATGCACATGACGCTGACACAACAGAATTCCACAATCTCACAAACAATCTCAGGTTTAATTTCAGCAGTTTAAGCAGAGCAGAGCATCAATGTCAATCAATGTCATTCAATCCACAAATAAAATCAATAAATCCACCACTCAGTCAGCTGTTCCTCAATTCCAAAAAGTAAGCTGTCACGAATCGTCAGCGAGTGGCGGTGGCTAGTTGCCTGGGCCCGTCAACCATGGCAGCCGCTGGCAATGATGGTGGGAGTGGTTGGTCCTCGCCACCCCCAACGAAGAGGCTTCGAGGCAAGACTTCTCCAGCTTTAATAGCATGTGGCAAGGCAACAGCCGCAAAGAGTAAGACAACACCAACAGCACCACCGGACTGGTTGGAGGCCCCGGTTCCCGACCTACTACCTTCGGTTGTTGACAAGACTGAGATGATCAATAAGGAGATTCAGAGATTGACAAACATGAACATGAACAAATCACAAACATATGACAAGTAGATTCAAGTAGATGATGTTGGAAAAGTTAGGAAGTCTCTGAATCGAATCTACGTTCTTAGATTTGAATTACGTGTTGTGTTGATAAGTTTTGGGATCAGCATGATGAGGTAGTAGATGAATGATAATAAGCGGAGAAACGATTCCGAAATGATTCAGAGTTTGTTGTTTTGGAAACAACGTTTGAATTAATGTTGTCATGATTCATGGTTTACACTTTTGCAAAAACGATGCATAACTGCATAACTTCATAACTAATTCATCTTGCAACGAATCGTCAGTTTTCCCGAACTTGTTATCACGCAATCCCCTACATCAATCCTTACTGTTCGATCTACAGTTGCAGCCGCTAAGTTGCAGCCCCTGAAAGGACACCATGACCGAGATTCCTAAAAGCCAGGGGGAGACGGGCGAGCCGGGCGAGGGACAATCGTCCTCGGGCACGGCTAGTAGCGGGAGTGGAACAGGGACATCATCAGAATCGTCAACAAGTAGCTCCATGGACTCCATGACATCAACATCATCAGCAAATATGTCAAATGAATCTGGTACGTCCGATGACCACAATGCCAAGTCAGAGTGGAATCCTCAAAAGGGCTTGCAGAAGTTGTTTCAATGGCCCGTCTATGTTGCCAGGGTGTTTGCCGCATTTGCAGCTAGGTGTCTGCAGCAACCTGGCATGGACCCGGTCAAGCTCTCCTCAGCTGTTGCTACGCAGCAGGTGCCTGCGATTCTGAGAGGTCTTGGAGAGCCACTCCCAGAGGCTGGCCATGGTGACGGTGAAGGTGAAGGTGATGATGATTATGATGAAATGAACGATCCCAACAAGAAACCATTGAATGACTGGTGTGAACAAATGGATGGATCAACCATGAGCACCAGTTTCTCTGGCATTGAGACCCCAGCAACTTGTTTGATGATGTTGGGGTATACGTTTTGCCATGAGCTTGGCATACCTCTAGACAATGCGCCTCACATGACCCACAAGTACGCCATTGAGTGGAACAGTCAAGCTCGTGGGGAGATTTTGAAACATCCCAGTCCGCCAGAGCACTTGTTTGGAGATATCGAAGATTTCTGGGATGAATCTGTTCGTGCAAAGCTACCAGCATTGAAGGATAACAACTTGATTCAAGATGTTTTGGTTCCTCTGGTCAAGAACACAAAGTGCACAAAGAGCCGAGCATGGTGCTACAAGCACAATGCATTTTGCGAGGCGGGGCAGGGGTTGTCCGCACTGGGTCTGCCGAGCAACAAATTACACGACATATTCTAACGTATAAATATACTGTGTTAAAATCGTATATGTATATAATATATAATGTGTATATATATATATATACACACTAAAATTATATGCCATCTATGTTATGTTAGATGATGTTAGACTAATGTTAGATGTTGTAAGCCCTGAACGGTTGACATGATTAACTGACAGCATGACATGAACGATCGAAGTCACTGCTCATACATACAACATGTGACATGGGACGGCAGCCGCCAGTCCATTGTGTACGAGAAGCATTAATCAGTCAGGAGTCAGGGATCATTCTTAGATTCTTCCATTCTTAGATTGTCAGAATTGTCAGATGGTAATTTAGTAATGAATGAGTGCTCCATTCATTCCGCCCATTGCTCCTGCTCACCCCACTGCCAGACCTGTCAGGCTGAAGCAACGGACTTGCAGGTAGCAGGAACACCGTGCGTGGACTTCAGCGCCCGAGGAAACATGTTGGCCGAACAGGGCCCAGCCTTCTTGTGCTTCCTTGCTTGGGCGTCGATGAGACGTTTAAAGCAGGAACGGCTGGTGGTACAGGAAAATGTACGGGGGTTCCCCAGTGCAATTTTACACAATCTGTTGGGAGACCTCTATGACATAACTTCCTGCATCATCAACCCTGCAGATCATGGGTTTCCCTCCGAGAGACCGAGGCAATGGGTGGTGATGAGACATCGAGTGAAAACGGTGTCATTTAGTTGTACTCTGGAGTCATGGTGTGGTATGTTTGAAGCCCCGTTGCTGTTCGGTATGTACAAGGAAGTAGTGGGCTCACTGGGGTCGGATGAGTCTGACATTCCTGGTTGGGATATCTACTTTCAGAATGACATCGAGAATAGCCAGTATCTGTACAATGAACTACTTTGGGCGTGTGGAAGGAGGGAGTCAGACGCCGCTGATGGCTGCAAGTTCAAAACATTGACTGAGTTTCAAAACGCCTTGACATCAAACTACCCAGAAGTTCAATCGGAGTTCTACCGGGCTTTGACAGCCAATGAGAAAGACAAGCTGTTGGAGTACCAGGCGTTGAAATCATTGGTTTGCTATTCGCTCAATCAAGATCCTGGTTTTGGAGCAACGATGTCAACGTGGTCCACACTTCACACGGTGATAAAGAACGCGGGGGTTATCTGGTTCCTAGCCTACTAGCCGGCATTCCTGATCTTAGTTTGTTTCACAAGTTGTTTCGTTTGTATTCATGTATTCATTGTACTGAATTCATTAAATCATTGTGACAAGGTCAGAAGGTTCTTCCCTGGTCGGATTGAATGGGTTTCGTTGGGTTTCGGTGGATGGATGTTGATGTTAATGTTATAATGGATGTTGCATAAACATGAAATTATGAAACAAACATGAGCATGATTCAGGAGTGTGACTCAATATGATCCAATAATATCACCATATGATTTGTTGCTGCTGATGATTGCTAGTGGATATGTACATGATCACATGATCATCAATGATTCAATGATCAAGATCCAAGAACTATTTACTTGCTTTCTTGTTTTCATTCTCTTCGAAAATGGCTATGAATTCTGACAGAGCCCCTCGCCCTTCGGCTGCAACTTGCTGCCAAGGAGCGATCGCCACGGCCGATTCCTTTTGGCGCGGGAAGCTCTCTTGTCTCAAGGGTTTCCCGTCGAGCAAAGCCTAAGTCATGATCGACCATGTTGCTCGTTTGCTCTGGGGTCTGAGAGCAGCCGAACTGCCCAAATTGGGCAAGCCGGGAACGCAATGAACTGTATGGTTTGCGCAATGGTGTTGTTGTTTGCGATGACGCAAACTCGGAAATCAGAGATTGGTATCATGTCCGGGTCATTTGAAAGCATGCTGAGCAAGTTTAGCATCGGTCTCATGTAGTTTAAACTACAAAGCACAGAGAGACGGGTGGCTTGGGGCAGTTTTTGCAGCTTTGGGCTTTGGATCATAAAAGTTCTGCGCCTGTTCTGATTGGGTATCTGTTTGTACCTGTTTGTCGACTCGTAGATTGGCCAACGGGCCAACGTGTAATCAGAACGAACGTTTTGAATCCATAACATGACATGTTATCATCATGATCATCTTTGGAATCTATGGGACAAAGGATGGTAGAGTTAGATTTGGAAAGATGATTTGATGATTTGGAATTGTTTGATGTCACGAGTTTGAAGGTTTGAATGGTTGATTCGATCGAGAATTCATGTTTTGATTGATGATGGAAATTCGGACACATGCCGTAGAGAGATATTTATATGATATTGACTCGCATCGCCAAAAGCCGCATCGCCATATCGACATATCCATAAATCAATCACATCGAATATCAGATCACATCTGAACCGACTTGTTTCTAACTTGTACAGCCTTTGGTCCAAGTCAATGTCAACGGAGACAACTCGTGGAGCCAATCCCAATCACAGTATTTAATTCAGTATTGTATTGAACACAATGGAACAACTATTACTGTACAGTTCTTATAGTTCTCTTATTGTTCTTACTTGAATTCAAATCGACTCCGGCTCACCTGCTGCTGAGCACGGCAGAGTGGGTTTCTGACTTGGCTGTCGGAGACTTCCGACCGACCTCCTCCTCGCAAATTGAGCACCACTTGCTCGACTCAATTCGTTGAGTCCAGACACACATCCAAGATGGCGGCGGTTCCGTGCCTTGCCTGAGCAGTGCAGTGTGGGGGTGGAGCACTGGGTTACCCAGTGCCGCGGAGCGGGGCCCAGGCATGAACATTTACACGGATTGAAATAATAATAAGAGCAATCTAAAAAAATACAATCTCGCATGGTCCATTGATTCATTGACATGACGAATCATCCCGAATCATCATAATTTGAAGTCAGCAGCCTGTTACTGTTACTTCTTTAATGTTTCTCAACTCATCCTGCTCTAGGCAGAATCTTCAGAAGCCCGATCCAACAGCCAACACCAACACCGCATCACCAGTGGACACTCTTTATGGAGCTAAATCTTTGGCTGAGCGCTTTGGGAAGTTGGAAGGACGTCAGCTTCTTGATTCAGTCTTTGAACGCTATCAGGTGAGGCTGTGGGGATCCGGATAGGTTTGGATCGGCTGGCTGAGGAAATTGATGTACCATGTATGCATGCAAATCCAATATCACCATGTTGATATATATAACTAATATATTTAATAAGTGGGACCTATGGCACATGATTTCATATCACTGTCGTCTATCGTCTCGACAGTCTCGACATATCTGATTTGTTTTCATGTGGAATACTGGAATCCTGGAATGCTGGAACAATCAATATCAGATTTGCCTTTTGCATTGCCCAGCAGACCCAGCAGAAGGCGCAATATATCTTTCTCGTATATAGTATATATTATTCAATGATTTATAATCTATATACAAATATTTGCATACCACTATATCCACATGCATTACTGCATAGCATATATGAAGTTGACTCAAGTTGGTTGGACAAGTAGAAAATTTGGAGTTATGGTGATTCATGAAACCGAGACAACAATCTTTGTCAGGCACCTGATTGCGCTCATGGCCTTGCAACCGTTCCGTGGTACCTCCCGGACGGGAAACGTGGAATCGTTCGCCACCCTCTCAACGATCGAAAGCATGACTCGGTCAAGCTGCGGTACAAGCAGGGCATTCTGCAGCACGGTATCATGACTGGATGCAGCCATGGCTTTTGATGTACCTTGGCATATCAGCGAGCCGCCGTCTCTTAGTACGACTAACTAGATTCGAACTTTCGAATCATTCCATCAAAGATCACTGGTCATGGATAGGAATTTGCAGTTGGCAGTTAGAGTTAGATAGAGATAATAAGATGTTAGACTGATGTTAGATGTTGAAATCTATGATTTCGATGATTGAAATCTTGGGTCCCTTGAAGTCCCTTGCGCCAAAAGCAATTCAGTCACTGAGTCACTTCAGTTGCAGGTCAGTTACATGTTTCATTCACTGATTCGCCTGATTCGCCATTCGCTATCTTTACTACTTTAGGGCCAGTAAATTAAAATAGTCATGAGTCATGAGAGTCACTAGATAACAACTAACAACTGAACAAATTGAGAAAAGACAAGTTCAATGATAAAGAAAATATATATTCCAGATGCTGCCACATGCCAGATACCTCGGCTGCCGACCCCAGGCCCAGCGGCCCCGGTCAGCCGTATTTGGCAGTGACTTACGGGACATTGCCGCTTGGAAGGCACAAGGCAACTGATTGAATTGATCCATTGGTTTCATTTATTCATTACGTGCTTGACTAGCCTCATTGGGCCATTTCACTCCTCTGATTCATAAGTTGATTCATTGATCAATGTTAATTTTGATGCCTTCCTTCAGTCACCGGACCCAACAGACCCAGAGATTAACTCATTGTTGTCATTGTGTTGGCAAGTCAGAATCACTACATAAAACCTACCCTCAAAGCCCACCAAGACACATCAGAACCAACATGACATGGCCGAGTCAGTTTCCTGAAATTGCGCTGAGGTCAGAAAGTTTCTACGAAGCCGATTATGCCAACCCGGACAACCCACAGGTAGTGAGCACCCGACTTGCTGGGTTGAAGTGTCGTCTTTTTGACACGCGTACGCCCAATGATGTGATACAGTAGCTCGACTTGACTATGCAGCAATCAGCAATGAGTCAATGACTGACCAATGACCACATGATCACAGGATCACATGATGTTATACAAATGATAGCTAGGATCTTTTTATCAATCAAATTGTATCAGTTTCATTCTTGTTTCAAATTCAAAGGTTCACGAAGTTCACGACTGACTCAGCCACCTTACTAGTTACCGAGATCAAGATCATGAATCATTGAATCGTGGTTACTTTATGATAAAACAATTGTCAGACATGACATGGCAGAAGCACAGTCCGCCGCCCGCCGCACCCAGGTATTTGAAAGATGTCAACAACCAGTTTCATCAGGGCGCTGCGATCAGCTTCTACGAACTGGTCACCGGCGTGCAATCTGTCGACGAAGCACCTTGGGTAGAATTTGGCTTCGTCGTTGCAGTCGTTCAATTGGATGAGATGAGATGAGATGAGATGAGAAACGATGAGTCTCACACACACACACGTCACACACGTCATCAGTCACATCACCATAACATCATATGAGTCAGACCCGCATGAATCATCTGAACATTGAACATTCATATGATTCAATTCATACAGCTTAGTGTACGACTTGCTACTTAGTCCTTTAGGCTTACTCAATAATCACGATGGGACGAGACTATGTTAATATTTAAGTCTGATGTCATCACTGTCATTGAGTCATCATCATCCCATCATCCAGTCACACCCATGTCCACACTGTCAGGCCTGGCGGAGCTATGCTGATCGCAATATGATTACAAGCCGCAATGTCAGCAGCTATCATGAAGCCTTTCTCCAATGGCTACGTGATAGCGAATTTAAGGACTTGGGGATTGGGGTTGGTGACTCTCTCATGGTAACCCATGGTATCACATCATGATTAGTACTTAGTAAGTAAGTAAGTTGGTAACTTTTATATTCTTATTTGTCTGTCTATTCTTGCTGTTCACCCTGGTATGAGTCATGAGGAACAGAAAGTCAGAAGAGTCAGGAAATATGTTCTTATGTCCTTGCTCAGTTTGATTCTGCACAGCATAACTCAACATAAACCATAGCTTAAACTTAATCTAAAACTCATCAGGAATGGTCAATCATGATCCTCACCTAACCGACCAACCACTACCTGAACCCACCCTTGTCCCTCCACCATTCTGTCATCCATCCACTTCAATCCACTTCCATCCATCGACAGTTCCTTCCACTCCCAACCGCTAGGAGAAGTACAATGCGAGCCTCTTCAAAACAGCCAGGGCACTCCGAAACAAGCTCACGAAACTAGGTGTCTATCGCTCCTGGGAGGCAGTTTGTGGAAGTGAGACGGACTTCCTTGACAAGGATTTGGTCAAAGAGAATGCGTTGGCCAACATGAACCAGTTTGCTACTTTGATTGATGGCTCCTTTGCTGGTCAATCAAGCGATCTCCTTGGGTACATCCTGGTGGAGCTGTGCCGCTTTTGCGTGGCTTGGCTTAGCTCTCTAGTGGAAGTACAATCCCGAATCAACAATTCAGCATCCTAACAGTCATTATGATATATTTTGATATTATGACATATGTTATGAATCGTTGAAATTATCAGCAAACTGTTGGCAAACTGTACTAACTAACGCTGTACGAATGTAAGTAGCGGTGTAAGAGCGAATATGAACAAGTTGAGGACTATGAACAAGTTGAGGACAAGAAGCAGGCAAAGGACTGGACTAGAATGACTAGAACTCTGACGATTTGACAGGGACTTTCAATGGCTCAATGGTTCCGACATACATAGAACTATACTTATATGGTTTGTATTTTCAACATACAACACATATACATTGTTTGTTGTAATTAAAAACTGAAAAGGTGCGACTAGTGCTACGGCTACATGATGCCTATCAGTCATCATTATGATTGCATTGAATCTTCGTTTGCACACTTCGAACATTGCATCGGCTGCATCGTTTGATTCGATTGATTCATTTGACACATTTGATATCAGGTTCCTTTGTTACCTCCAGCAATCTCCGGATCGTCATCGGCATGTGGTTTAGAAGCACCCCCATTTCTCTTCAAAGCAGGCCCAACATCGGCAGCCATGAAGGAGGCTGAGGATCGGTTGACATGCAGGGTATCAGGAGCTGTGTGGCTGAAGAAGTTGACGGGCGATGCTCAGAATGACAAGAAGAGGGCCAAACCAGCTGATCTGACGGAAGAGAAAGCTGCCAAGAAGCCAAAGAAAGCAGGGGCTTCAAAAGCCGCAAAGGGCAAGGCGAAAGCAAAGGCGAAGGGAGCGGCTCCGACTTTGGAAGATGGTGAGACCATTGACACTTTGCAGGCTGACATCCAGTTTCAAGTTGCGGAAAGTGACTCTCTTCCAGCTGGATCTCGTTCCAGAATGTGGCTTGATGATCTGTGTGCAGCGATTATGGCAGTGATCAAGAATTGCCAGAGTGCGCATGTCCAACTGGAACTTCCAGCTCATGGATCGTCTGCCCAGGCAGGCTTGATTGCTGTGGTGGTATCGTGTGGACTGAGATTTGGATTGGAAGGAAAAGCAAAGCTGAAGAAGAAGGTCTACAAGGAATGGTCGAAGCTGCGACCAGCCCTGCAATCCTTCTTGAAACAAGGTTTGGATACTTTGTCGGCCCAGCAAAAGGCAGCATTGCCCCAGGCATCATCAGTGCAAGACTTGCTCTCCAACCTCATTCAAGAGGTTGGCGCATCTGAGGCCGAGCAACAGCTGGCGACTTTGACAACGTCAGCCAATCCACAGCAAGCATATGCAGTGGCCAAGGAAATTTTGGCTGACAAGGAATCGCTGCAGAAAGTGGAGAAGTTCATTGAGAAGAACAACAGCCATCACTGCCAGCAGCACTTGGCCTACAGCACGATCCTGAAGACCATCAAAGAGTCGCTTTGCGAATGCCCATCGCCTGCTTGCAATTTGCATCATGATTGTCACACCCTGCAAGACTTGCTTTGGGGAGTGCACAAGTCCTTCATGGTGCTTGCGGAGGACGAAGCCACAACGTTCTGCCGTGAGATTGGTCTAGTGGGAGCTGCATGCCTGGTAGTTGGCGCAACCGTTTTGCAGACCGTGAAGAACAAGCAAAACTCGTCGAGCCCAGGGAAAGGGAATCAGGCGGGGAAATGGGAAGATTGGGCCGGGTGCAGCAGCATTGTGGCTGATCTCAAATTTATCTCTGTGTCATGTGTTTAAAATCTGAGTTTATGTTTCTCATATTTTGGGAGTGAGGTTTTATATACTAGTAAAGGGCTCATTACTCATGGACGACCAATTGATGACCATGACTGGGACTCACTTGATGGCACAGCAAATGGCAGATGGCGGTAAACTGTGATGGATGATGATTCTGATGATGATGTTGATGATGATGATGATGGTGATGATGATGATGATTACTGTAATGATTCATGATTGCAATGATTGATGATGAATGATTGATGATTGATGATTGATGGTTGATGATGATTGATGATTGCAATGATTGCTGGTTGATTCATGATTGATGATGGATGATGATGGTGATGATGATGATGGCTACCGATAAACGAATCAAGTAGCGATCCAATGGCTAATGGATTAGTCATGAAGTTCATAGGCCCCTACTATCCATGTGGCAAAGTTGTGATGAAGCGCAGATTCAATCATAGAACTTCGAACCGTAGATCGTAAAACAATCTTCTCAAGTTGACGTTAAAATAAAAAAAAGTCCTAACAGCCTAACAGTACATATTACATATTAATTTGCTAGACCACTGTACCATACTATATCATTCTATACTATACTGTACCATACTGTAATACGATGCTATACTGTACTATTAGCAGACTAGACTCGCTTATTATGACAGTGATACAGGATGAACCCAGAATGAACTAGTGGGCAATAAACAATAATGAACAAATCCGGAATCTAGCAGGATCCAGATCAGTCATCTCATCGTCATCATCATCATCATCGTCAGTTGTCTTGCTCGCAGGACTGCCCAGCCCGGCAAGCCACACTTCTCCTACGAGATTCTGTTGGCAAAGATGCAAGGTTCCTACTCAAGGAGCCGACGATGGCACTGGCAACGAAGTCTTCAATGAGCCAATGATCAACATGCTGGTCGCTTGTCGTGGCATGTACCTGTTATCCCTCGTTCATGAGATCATGCAAGTGCCTGGTTCTGACAATCTCCTTCATTTTGAAGATTTGACACAGAAACAAGTTCGCAACTTGCATGGTTTGATTGGTCATCTGATTCGTGGCGGGCCCGCTGCCTCCAACGGCTACCTCGTGGAAGCAGAGGCCAGCTTGGCATTGCAAAAACGAGGTGATGGTACTGAAGACGAAGGAAATGTCACATGGGACGAGATGTGGTGCAACATCTTCAGGAAAGCTCTGACTGAAGCATCCAAGGCAGAAAGCAAGGCAGACAAGGACAAGGACAAGTCAGATGCTGCCAACGCTGATGATGGCGCTGGACGGCAGGTATCAGGAGCCAAGCTTGCAAAGTACTTGCCCAAGGCGGCCACTGCGTGCCCAAAGAAGTTCATGGAGCCGAAGGACAAGGACAAGACTAGCGAGCAGGCCGAGCAGACAGCTTCCGCTGCCACAGCCAGTGAAAGCAACACTGCGGCCACTGATTCAACCTCTTTGCCATCCTTCAGCGAGATCTACAAGATGCACAACGTGGGGGACAAGGTCAGCGACATCAATGTTGTCAACATTGTGGCTCTGCGGGGTCAGATTGAAGCGCACGTGATGTCCAATGCTGTCAAGAAATCGAACACAAAGCTTTTGGATGCAATCCATGTGGACTCCAAGAATGCTGCCGTGATCAACATCAAAGATATGGAAGCCTGTGCCACTCTCAAAGATCCAAAGATCTTTGCATTTGGCTCCGTCTCAACAGAGTGGTGTCAAAGGGCAGTCAAAGTTTCTTGGCGATATGCCGATATGCCAACAAAGTCCAAGTTCAAAGGTAAGTAAGAATCACCATCATCAATTCATCAATCAAATCAAAGTCGATTCGTTTGTCAAATCAAATCACAAACATCAACTTAACATCAACATTGACATCAATACAGTCACGGTCAACATCACCATCACCATGGACAATCATCAAAATCATCATCATCATCACCATCATCATCATCACCATCATCAGAATCATGATCATGATCATGATCATGATCATCATCATCATCATGAATCATCATCATCATTATCATCATCATCACCATCATTATCATCATCATCATCATGATCATCATCATCATCATCATTGTGGGCATCATCATTTTCATCATGCAATCATGAATCATAAACCACCGCGTGGCCTCTATATGACTATGGTCCATAAGACTTTTGACTTTTGGACCATCCTACTTGAATTGAACTTGACTCACCTATCACTGCTGGAAATCTGCCTAAGGTTGCTGTTGCGGTGTTTGGCGGCGCTGGCAGCAACTCTGCTGAAGTGAAGATCGAGTACTACCTGTCTGAAACAAATTTTGCTAAGTCGGCAAGTCTTGCCCCCTGCGCTGTGTGGATGTGCAAGGCTGGGCTTGATGAAACAAAGTCCTTGTTCAAGTGCGGCGAAGAGACTAGCACAGTGTCCTTTTCTGACGCGTGTCTTGAAGTAACTTAAGTTTGAGGGTTGGTCGGCGCAGTCTGTGGGCTACGGGCTGTAGGCAAGAGGTCTGAGACACGGAGGAGGACTGTGGTTTTGCGGTTACTATTATTTTGAACTTACTGGATTCGATCTTCTACCTGACCATTCTCAAAATGATGACTAACGACTAGTTTAGCTGCGGGTCCAAGATCAAGTTTACACTTTTTGCTGATTTGATGATTTGATGGTGGTGGTTAAACTTACTGTCTACTGTTTCT